GATCATTGGTATCTAAGTCTTCCGCTGTGCTATCTTATACTTTGTATTGAAAGGTCGGTTCTTGTTCTGGTCTGCACCTATACGGTATGCAACAAAGGGGGTCCAGTGTGCCAGTAGTTGCTGGTTTTCCCCTAGGAGGATGAGGCCCAAGTCCCAGGGAATATGCTGGTCCGTGAGTGAATGGAACGCTGCATCCCACCATCTCCATATCTGGGCAGCCATTGGGCATGCCAGAAGGCAATGTTCGAGGGTTGCCCTAGCAGGCTGTGTCATCCTACCACAGTAGGTGCAGATTGGGGACAGCAGCCCTTTCTGCTCAAGGTTGGTTCTTGATACAATCCAATCAGGCGTAGGGAGACAGCGATGCAAGATTTGCCATTGCAGGGCTCTAAGGTTTGTGGGCATAAGTTTCGCGTACTTTGCCCAAGGAAGATTGTGCAGCAGCTGCGATTTTAATGGTGAGTCTCGCTCCCATCGCTGTGAGATTGTCTGAGCAATCTGCTGCTGAGGCACAGCTGCCCTATAGCCTCCCTCTTCGGCATACCCGATCTGTCTTTTCTCATTGTGCAAAAGGGACGCTGGACCCGTTGTCCGGCACGTGTGGCTCCCCACCAATAGACTGGAGCAACTGGCTAAAAAAAAAAAAAAAAAAAAAGATTTCAACTCACAGGTGACAGGGCCAGATCGTCTTGGCCGGTCACATCGTCCCATTCCTCCAGGTTCCATGTCAAATTGGCACTTCTGATAAAGCTGTGGGACCAGGCTTGGCAGAGGTATCGAACCAGAGTCGGCAGAGGCAAGACAGAACTGCATGCATACGACCGGCGAGCTGTGTGTATCTTCGTCTACGGACAGGATGTAATGCTGAGACGAAAAACTTGAAACGGGTCTTAGCAAACGGGCAGTTCTTTGGAAATTCGCAGCCCGTCAGGGGTGCATTTTCCCCCCTGAGAACATTTTTCGTCGTCACTCATTATACGGTCGTTGGAAGGCTGGAAAACCAAGGCATGTCAGTTTAGGGGGTGGTGGCATCTTATTTGATACTGCAAGACCGGTAGCTGCCCGTGGGACCGCACGGGTTTTGGTCCAGGACCGCGTAGGACCCGTAGCTGCACGTAGGAGGCCGAGGAGGCCGCAGTCCTTTTTCGAAATTGAAACGGTGCGGGTCCACTTTTCTCGAATAGCAGAGTTCCTCGAATAGAAAA